AATATAGCAGGCAGCTATCATATGGGTAACCAGATCCTTCAGAGCAAGTTACCAATTAGCCAAACATCTCTGTAGGGAAACCTCATGGTGGGATTTTACGTGATATAATTATTAAGAAAGCTTGTTGTTTTGTAAGAGCAGTTAAATAATATGGCAGGTGGAGTGAGATATACTGGAGTGAAAAGAAAACATAGAAATGATTTATTGTTATCAAAGATTATTTTCCAAATATTTGTTCTTATTGAAGAAATAGTTAGATATTTTAGGAAATACGGTTATTGAGCAGTTGCCAGGCAACTGGTTGCTACTCCAGGAAGTTACACATGGCAACACAACACATGGCAAATAACCCCCCAGAAAAACAGCCAAATGTGTTTAAATAAAACAAATATAACATGTTCATTAGTTAGAGGCAACAGTTTGATGAAAATAGCAACATTACTGTCATATTTACTATATGAAATTAATATGAAGATACAGCCAGGAGACGTTAGCTTAATTTAGCATAAAAACTGTAACTAGGAGGAAATTGGCTCTGTCCAAAGGTACCATAAGACAACAGGAAGTTGCTGTACATTGTCAAGAAATAGTCTGCCATGTAGCCTACTGTATCTACAGCTTGTTGTTTTTACAGTTTAAACAGACAATTTCTAATTAACACGTGTCGACGGCTGCTGGCTCCAGTGGCATCCATCTTCTCACCTGCTCTTGGCAAGAATGTGAATATTTGAGTATTTCTAAGAATGCTTTTCTTTTGAAAAATATAATTTACTTTGTTGACCATTACTTTGGCCTGCAACTTAAAATATTGTTTAGTACATGCACTATTAACGCTGTGTCCAAATCAGCCACTATCAATGCACATTTCTACATTAGCTTACATTTTTTATACTTGGAGGATAAGTGAGGTTTGTTAATTCAAGAGCACTGACTGTGAGTAAGACTCAGTCCTTTAAATATTGAAAACAAATAATCAGATCAGTAACAGGAAAATCCATGAATAAGTAAAAAAGTTTTTAACATGATGTTATCATTATTTATCTCATCCCCCATCTACTTTCTTATCTTGACTGCATTTTTAAGGATTACTTACTTCTGAAATCTTCTTGTTCATTTACATACATTAATTTATAAATTAATGAGAGAAAGGAGGCAATCTTGAGCTGCAGTTCTATTGATTCTCCACTAAGTGGCAGTGTTCCATGACAATTAATAATGTGTGTGTGTGTGTCTTGAATATTACATTGAGACTGTGCAGTCAGCCCAAATACTACTATATTACTATCAACATCATTTACTTTGGAGTCATTCAGTTTCCAAGAGAATAATAAATTCACCATTTGCTTTTTGGCTTTATCTTTCAAACTGTGAGGGGGGTGAGGAGGGGGGTGACGTTTTACAGCTCAGATGACTTTGTTAAAGCGGTTGGTTAAATTAAATATCATATTGTTTTTCAATTAATTTAGAGAAACTCTTGTTCAACACTGGCATTTTCTAGCTGCATGACACAAGCCTGATGTGTACTAGTAACGTCAAGAACATCTAGCTTATCAACAAAGAACACCAAACTAGGGCAAGACAGTCTCAACAACCTCCTTCAGTTGACAGGAAACCATCCCTATAAACACTTCAGTGTTCTTCGAACGTTTTATATCCAAAATGCTGCCAACACAATAGAGCTCTGTTCCTTCACTACCTGACCCAGTGTAGTGTGTAATCTGTGACACCCAAAGGCCTCTCCAAAACTGTACATTCTGTTAAAACTGTATAACATCAGAAGCTGATGCCACACACCAACAGTAGCTGGTAAATAAACAATATTTGGGTGTTTTGGATAAACACTTTTCAGTGGAACATAACACAACTTTAGTTTCTAACAAACAATCTTGGTCACAAACAGCTTCTGCTTCAGCAAGTCTCTTAAAATTATATCGGGTTGTGCAATGGAGATTTTTCAATATCAGTTGTTGAGATCTCACTGTTATGTCTGAAGATGTTAAAGGTTCAGTCTGGATCATTTTTTTATTAACTTTCTAATAAAAATAGCATTGTGCTATTGTTTAACCTCTCAGGGTTTCTGGCTCAATAACTTGGGGTTTATCTATTAGTGCCCATAAAATATTTTTTGGAAAGAAGTCTCTCTATTTTTGGTGAATCTCCAAATCTTGTGGAACTCCTTTCTCACAGTCAAAATAAATCATAAATGAGTTGTTTTTAAACTGAAGTTTGACGTAGACTAGTCTTGAAATATAAACGAACTATGCATTTCATTTGGGTTTTTATTTTTTTGTATTTTTGTTGTATACTTATTGTGTTTTGTGTCATGTTTGTTAATGTATTTTTGTGCTGAGCTGTGTGTATTTATGTAAAGGCCCATCTAAGGACCAACAGTCCTAATGAAAGTCATTGAAAGTGAGACATATGACACAAGTGACATCTCACTCTTGAGTTTTTCAGATGTAATTTTTCCATTCTTTAAGCACCACAAACACAACTCAATCCACCTTTCATTAAATTGAGATAGATCTGCATATTTCAGAGGCAAAACTTCAGCACATTAAACCAAATCTGTATGCATGGTTAAGCACTATGCATAAGAGTGTAAATATATATTTGTTTAAATTGAGTGAACTGACCATTTAACAGCCTTTTCAAAGCTACAGAGCATTTTACTGGTCCAGCTCTCACTCGTTGCAGAACACACATTGTTTGGAGCTTCCATGGTAAAGTGCAGGAGAACACAGATGGCTAACTACAGTGCTGCCGCCCTATACACAGGATACATCCTTTCTATACTGGATGTATCCGTTCCAGACACACACACCATTAAACCTTTGGCCAAACTCCTGTTTGTTTTTGGAAGTATCTCAATGTGTAAAACAGGTACACAGTTCAATATTGTGCAGGGTTATTTATTCAGTGACAGGAAAGATATTAAAGCAGCACATCTTTGCTCTCCACATTGAAACAAACCTTAATTTGTTCTCTTCTCGTGTTTATTATTTTATAATCTCACTACTACTAGACATTAGAGGTCCCTTTTACGGGCCTGATATGGCTAAACATTTTGACAAATAAACGTAGGTCTCAATTTGACTATATAGAAAGTCTTTGGATGTAAAAACCCCACCAAGTTTTAAACTGCTTAGATTGCCTACATAAATATAAATGTTTAAACATTTGTCAATATAGACAGGCTACACATCGTCAGATTCTCCACAATTCATTTGTTAAGTTGATTTTACAGAAACCAAATGACCACCAAATGATCAAATGATTTTTAATTGATATAGTTATTTCATAGCCACATTTTTATATAAGTAATATTCATACTAGTTTAAATAAACAATTTTAAATTACAGCCAACAGTGTGTTAGCTAAGCATATAAGATTCTTGTGTTGAGGTTGGCAGCCATTTGTTTTACAGAGTAAACAAACAGGATATAAATGTGGATTATTGAGCTTTAGAGGGGCTAGTAGGTGGATTTTTTTACATTTGGACAGAGCCAGGGGCCTGTACCACAAAGCAGTATTTGAGGTTGACTTCAGGATTAACCCTGGGTTTTCAGTTCCACCACGGTGGTTCACTTACTACCAGTGTGAGTTTTCTTTAGGTCTCTGTTTAATATATGTCTTATATTTTATATGATAATACACTAATAAAAATATATCTATGAATAGTATATTCCATTTCTGCCAATAGACGATGCTAAATAGATAATCAATTGATAATAAATGTTACACACTGGACCTATAAAGTCAGACACTCCAGAATATAGGATTTGTGAATTCATGCATACAAAACAGAGAGAGAAAACTTAAATTATCTTTATTTCATGCTCAGTGTCAAGTCTGCTAGACATAAAGTAATAAAACCTGAGTGGATTGTCCTCTCTTTCAATGAAAACATTTTATTGCATACGAACTCCCGTACCTGATACAAGACATTAGTAAAGTGTATAAATTATGCATGAAGCTTCTCTTACTGATTTAAGAGTGCCGTGTCAGCCAGGTTGGCAACATCCCATGATGTTGCCAACGTCCAAAAAAAGCACCCGTCTGTACCCAATATTTAGAAATGAAGATAAAAACAACCCACTTCAACCTCAATTAAATCAACACTGGGACTGTTTATGTCTTGTATTTGACTTTGATATCCTGCGTTTGTTGGCGCCTTTTATCTAGGATCTTGTCCTAAAAGTTGCTGCAGGTTTGGCCATCAACACTTCCTTTATGAATTACTGCTTCCTGTCAAGAGGAGGCCTGGCACGTCAACAATGCCTGGCAGGAAAAAGTTGTGTCTCTTACTGTCAGGCTCTTGTATTTCATTTTGAATTGAGTGTGTGTGTGTGTTCTCAGAGACAGAGGGCAGCTTACCTACGTCATCATGTTGGACTGAGACTAGCGGCATCAAAGAGCCATTGAACGAGAATGTCAGAAGAGTGACATGAGCCATTGTCCTCCTGGCCTGCTGCACACCGGAAAACGCTGTTCATGATCCCATAAAAACATTTTTGGCAAATCTTTGGAGAAGCTGCATAGGCTGAATCCAGTGAGTTCCTAATGGCTTGTAGGTTTTCACAATAGAAAACAGGTGTTGTCAATAAAAATGTCACCTAATCAATAACACCAGACTGAAACTTTTCTATTTGGCATTTTTTGTTTAAAGCTTCATGCTAATTTGCTCAACACTAAATGCTCATGAAATTTGATTTTATGGTGAGAAAATTACAACAATTATAATTAACATACCAAATATCTAAAATCAGTCTCTGTGAGTGGGAGCACAAACATTTTCAAGAACAGTGAAATGGCTCAATGTGTGGGATTGTGTGTATGTGGCTTGTACTGTACATGCAGAGGAGTGTGTGTGTTTGTGTTTGTTGACAACCTCTGCGTAGGGAGGGGCAGCCAACTGAGGGAGGGGACTGAGGCCAGGACCACTTCCTATCATAGAAAGTGTGTGGAGTATTTAAGGTCCAACCCATGTTTACACCTCACCCACACTCTGATCAGTTCTCATTCTGCAGAGAGGAAGCACCTGGCCGATGTCTGTTGCATATTGGGCAAGAAATGGACTGTGAAATCTTCTGGCTGCTCTGAAATAACTCAGCATTGTCTTATTTGTTCATTTGGCTTGCAGTGTGCTGAGGAGGCACGTGCCTGTCCTCTGATTTAGAGGCTAGCCTTGTTTGAACTTGGTTGTGCATCACAACCCTCAATCCTTGGATTGTACTATACACCGTTTCTCTCGGAGCATCTTTTGGCTATCAGCACCTATGTACAGCAGTGGCTACTCCCAGGTCTCTAAGTATAGCCCACAGGCCCAAAAGAAGATGCAGTACCGCTCAAAGGGCAAGAGTTGCGGCTACTACATGCGCATCGTCTTCTTCTTCTCTTCGCTTATTCAGTCTCTTATCATAGTCAGTCTGGTGCTCTTTCTGATCTACGGTAAGAAGCAGGACTCTGCGTCCACGTCACGCATCCAGGACCTGGAGGAGAGCTTCAGCCGACTCTCTATAGAGAACGTCGCCCTGAGGCATCAGAGGAAGAACCTGACCACCTTACTCAACACCACCCTGACTGAAAAGGCCCGTAACGACTGGGACTTGGCCATGTTCCGCTACTATTCCAACATCTCAGCTGGCTTTATCCAAGATCTTGACAAGAAGCTGGTGAGAAACTGAGCTAAGCCTTTTGATTATATCTAACATTGAGATGCTTAACTAGATTAACTGCTATGTTTTATATGATATTTAACTCCTAACCTTCCAACAGCCATAGAAATTAAGGTGTGGATATGTTTGCATCAGTGTGATTAACTAACTGTTAGTGTAATTAAAGTTACAAATTAAAGGAAAATTCCTATTAATATGCCTGCAATGCTTTAGTCAAATGGAACCTCAGTAGATCAAATGTTTTAAAGCTGGTGCTTTTATTATCTAAAGAGATGTAACTGTATGTGTTTTAAATACTGAGCACATTTGCACTACTGATTACTGTGTAAATGTAATTTAGTGTAATGTAGTTCTGAGATATTGTTTTTTAGTTTTTAGAACAAGATGCCAAACTTATTATTTGTATTCTAATTATTATTTAAAGTGGCACTTTAGAACCGCATGTAAATGATCAAGTGTTTTTCCTGTTTGTCTATATGTCACAACTGGTCTAGAAAAATGGACTAACACCAATGACTTTTCTTTCAATACAATACGAACAGCAACATCGCAATATCGAATTGTTCATTTGCAAGTCCACACAACCTGGACCATGCATAACACGTAAGTCTGACATTTCTTCAGTACAAACCCAAAAATAATCAAACAAATAAATTAAACATTTGATTTCTTAAACCTAATCCTCACCAAGTTTTACAAAAAGATGTATTTGCTAACTTCTTTAATATTTTGCCAACAGGATTAGATACATGTAACTGTGGCCTGTTGACTGAAGAGCTGAAAGCCAGGCTTCAGCTTGTGGAGTCCAACTTCACGCAAAAAGTACATGGGATGAGGATGGAAATGGACCAAATTGCCAAAGAAAGGGATAACCTTAATTTGGAGGCCATTCGTCTGAGGAGGGACAAATCCACACATGAAAAGGCGTTGGAGTTCTTTAGAGTAAAATGCAAAGAGGACTTTACCCAATCCTTGAGTGGGGTCTCCAATGTTACCAAGGCTTTCCTAGTGAAGATTGACTCCCTCTTCCCTGCACACATCGCCTTCCAAATCACCTGTGAAAAGCAGAGGGAACACTTAGAGCAGATCCGCACCAATTGCAGCAGCCTGTCCAGAGAAGTGGAGGACAGATTCCAGCGTTACCTGAACAGTGTGGGAGAACAGGTGTCAAGCATCCAGGGGGAGAACAGCCGCTTGAAGGCAGAGAACTGGCGACTGTCCGAAGACTACCGCTGGTGCAGCCAGAACCGCACGGGCATGATCCAGCAGCACAGACAGAGCCAAGATAAGTTACAGCGGAAAAATGATGAAGACAAGGAGAGACTCCTGGTGGACAAGATAAAGCTAAATGGAGAGATAGAAGTCCTGGAAAACAATGTCAGGTATAAAAGTAAAGAGGTTGAGCACCTTGCAGAGCAACTCAAGCACCTCAACATGTCCTGCATCTCTAGGGTAAGAGAACAGTTGCCACGAATGATAACTTGTAAAAAATCTTGACTTGATAAATCGTCTGAACAATGTTAATTGTAATTTTAGTGAAGGTGTTTGCAGGTGAAGGTGTAAAAATGGGGGCAAAAAAACTATGAGCTTCAAAAACAATGATTGATTTTGTGCAAGCTGTAGACGGCAGCAGCAGATATTACATGCAAGCAATGCTGGTGGGGATTCTGTAGTATAGTCAAATGTAATATGAGTCTATACAGGTTATCATTACATTGCATAGGTGTTGACTTTATACATAATGATCTGCATACATTTGTGCAACAATTACACCATTTTGCGCATTAATTTTAGCTTTGTTGTCAATGAAACCGTCCTTCTCTGCAGTATCATAAGACATATTTGCTTATGTAACACATGTAGAAAGATTAAAATAAAAACAATTCCTTATCCCAGTGCTTTGGTATCTTACATAAGATTTATGAGAGCAAAGCAGCCTGATGGTTATTGGAAATGATCCAGCTTTAAGTGCAGAGGAGGAGGTGGAGCAGGGAAATTGCCAGTAAAGTACGAGAGGGCAGAAGGGTAAGAACTGGACAAATATTTTTTGCCAGTTTTTATGTTAAGGATCTCCTGATATCGAGGAATCAGGGGTTTGCCTCTTAAAACAAAAATTATTGTTACATATAAAAATGTATGAATATTTGAATCATATAATGTTAGTGAAATATTTGTTTAACTAGTAGAAAAGGTTTAGAATCAGTTTTGCCACTTTAACATTTCTCTCATTTGATTTCAGACTGGGGCTGTCTCGGCTCCTCGGACAGGCACAAATCAGCCTGGGTGGGGGTTTGGTGGTGGTGGATCCAGTTCTGCCTCATCCAGCTCTTCTAGTGGGGGTCAATTTGGTAGGACAGGGTCAGGGTCAAGTAGTTCCATTGGGTCAGGATTCAATAAGCCAGCATCAACT